GATGAGAGGAGGCTGATGCTCCTGTAAATCGATTTATTCAATAATGAAAGTAAAATGCACTTGAGTCTGATTGGTTACAACAGATCATAAACGAAGTAAATAAAAATTTAATCTCAAAGTAGACACCGAAGTAATATCTTGTTCAGTAGACAACATATGTTAATAGCGCATTAAAAAAACCTATATGAACTTAATGCTGACCTTAAAATTTCTCAAGATTCATTAAAAATAAGGTACTTCCGGAAATGAAAAATCTAGATTACTTTTTTTTTTTTTTTTTAATTTAATTTTTTTAATTTTTTTTTTTTAATTGGCCTTATGATCTTGGCATATTAGCCATGAGGAATTCTTATATATGTTGTTCAAATTGGGGGTTATCGGGAAAAAAGGGCCAGAGGTGACGGTGGGAATCGAACCCGCGACCGCGGCGTTACCGTAGATTACTTTTCATCACACTTTATACGATGGATTGAAAAGAAACACCATCACAGACAAATTCATTTTCAATATTAAATAAGATGGTTTAACCGCTTTTTCAAAATAATATCTTGATAAGATATAATTCGTTTGTAGGTAATAGTTTCTGAAAAACCACTGCATAACACAGTCTCACGGTCAAAATCCGGCAGCTGTTACAATTAGGCAAGTGCTTTCAAAGCGTCATACATTCCATGGTGATTTATCCTTTCAGAATCTTTTTATAAAGGGGGAAAAAACTTTTCTTTTTTCACTAATGCTGCACACGCCTTTGGGCACGTGTGGGGATCAAGAGAAAAAGAGAGCGGGATTCTAATTAGTTCTACAAGGATGATTGATATTGTATTGAGATCGAAAGGGAAGGGGATGGGGCGAAACACCATCGCACCAACTCCCCATCATTGATGAAGTGGACACTTCGACTAATGAAATATAAATATTTCATTGTTAAAAACAGTCATCCGCAAGGGATCCGTGGGTTTAATTACAATTGTGTTTTTTTCGGTTTTAAATGTAATATCTGCTAACAGATACTAGACAGAAGGTAACTGATTCACACAATAATTGGTTAAAGTTGCAGATTTCCCGTGATAAAAAAAAAACAGTGATATAGTGAAATTCATCTGTACGGATTTGACACAAGCAAGGTAAAAAACATAGGAATTAGGTAATTATTACTTTATTAATTGTTAATATTATATGTATTGTATGTACATTCAAAATGCATCACAATGTACAATCACACATTTGCAGGTTTTAATAAAATATTGTTTAATAAAAAATAACAATAATATTAAATTATATAATGATTAATTTTCCATCTTACATTTTTATATCACTCTCTTTATTTCACATGCACATTTTTGTTTACGTTCACCCTTTATCATTTATCTCTTTCTTGTTATCTTTGTGTCTCACTCTCTCTTTCAGTTTCTCTTTTTCTTTGGATTGATTTTCTTTTGTGCAGGATGTCTGATTCTCCCTCCCTCCCTTTATTTCTCTCTCTCTTTCTCACTCTCTCTCTCTCTCTCTCTCTCTCTCTCTCCCCCCCCCCTCTCTCTCTCTCTCGCTCAGTCACTTTCTCATTGTATTCTTTTCTTACGATCCATCCTTATGTTAAATAACACTTCTAGTTAAATTTAAATATATCTTAAAGATGAAAGCAAAATTGGTTAAACAGTTCTCCCCATATTTCAAAAATCCTAGAAATGCGTTTAAAACGGTATGTAGTAGAGTGTGTCTTAAAAAAAAGAAAAATAATAATAAAGAAAAAATTCAATATTGGTTGTATAGATTTACATCTGGATTCCAGATAAATGCTCCGGCTTTTTGGGTTAATCAGCCAAAAAGAAAAAGTAAACTTTCATTTTAATAAGCGTGGTTTACGTCAGAGAACTTTTGGTTTGGGGAATAGGAACGAAATGTTTTCAGAGACCGCAGCTTTCCTCCACCAAAGGATCGGGATGAACTGAACACGCTGCGGTGTCGGTTTATCCAACTTCTGTTTAATGTTACCAGACATTTTAGGCTTTGTTAACCGTTTCTCAGAATATCTGGCTAGGGTATTTTTCCTGGTCTATGAATGGGACGATTTAGCTCTTATTGCGGTCAAAATATTGACTGTTGTTTAAGAATGCTAGTTAGGAAAAACAAAAATTCCGTATTGACCCAGAGATAAAGACATATAAATAGTCTAAGGTTTTACCTCGGACAATTGCGATGAATGTGTTTCGGTCTTGCAAATCGATTTTGAGAAAAATCACGAAATTGGATCGAGCTGTTATTGTCTAACTTATCTCAAGCCCATGATCGGTGTCATTCCAATTTGCTAAAATCTTTGAATTTTGAAACGTACTTAGTACTTAAAGACAAAACATTGTTTAAGAAAAATTAGTTTTACTTGAAAGAAATTTATTTTATATTATGCTATATTGTTTTGCTAGCTAGCAAGTAGATGTTTTTCTTTTTTTAAGTGAAATGTTCCCATGGTCTTCTTGACCCGGTCGTTTACGTAATATAAATGGTGATATCCTAATCACCCAAATACTTCCTAGTTCACATTTGTACTGCAATCCTGTCCAATCACAATGATCCTGTTCTTGCCGTTCGTTCCCTACAGCCTCACCTTACCATCCTTGAGCTTTGGCTAAAGAAGCGGAGGATAAAAATAAATAAAAATGAATGTCCGTACATTAATTTCACATAACGGTGAACAATCTGTCCTCCTGTATATCTCAACCGTGTTCGTCTACCCACGACAAACTGTGTTCGCTTATAATCTCTATATTAGAGATACATGACGAGTACTCACTAGATGATACAAAATTCTTTTTCAACTCTTATGCAGACGATCCAAATTATTTCTAAAAAACAAAATACTAATCCACAACACATTTCATACACCGACATAGGGTTACTGTATGAAAATATGGGGCTTAGCCAAGGTATCCAACTCCGATCAAATCCAATCCTTCCAGTCCAAAATCTTCCGTTGTTTTTCAAATGCTCCTGTCTATATGCGCAATCGTAACCTTCACCATGACCTCAACATGCCTTATGTTTCCTACTTCATCAAATCAATATATAATAAATTCTCATTCACTGGTCATCCCAATCCCTTAGTAACCCAACTTTCCTCTACCACAATTCCCGATACTTCACACCCGACACAAAACTCAACTCGGTTGATAGCGAATGACTAATGTTATCGGAGTGTCACTACTGAATGATTTCTCCGATTAGGACAGCACAAGTCAATTATTCTCTATAAACATTATATTTGCTTGTTGTCGTTAATTCTACTGTAGTAAATTTCAAATCAAACGAAAAAAGTATTTACCACTTATCATTTTTTGATTATTTAAATCTAGGACGTAAATAGTCAAAAAACGATACTTGACTAATATTTTTTGTTGTTTTATTTTTTATGACATGGCAAAGAAGGTTAAAACAAATTTTAACTAGAGGCAATTTTGATAGTCGTTTTTCGAACCCCAAAATACTCCTGAATACAAATGTTTTGGTAAAATAAAAAAAAAATATCTTTTTTTCTCTCAAAATTGATGTGTTCCAAATAAATAGCTACATACCACCGATATTATCGACACAGTTTAGTTCTTAATTTGAAGTAATGTAGGTTTTTAAATAATTTTCACACACACAAATTTAACTTATTTACTGATGGACAAAATGAACACACACCCTTCAATTTGATTTTATTGACCCCAAATGTGTTCGATTGGGTTCAAATATGTACTTAGAGATGCCACATCAAGTATTCAATAACAATATCATTCAGGTGGTCTTGCGAAACACGTGCTCTATGGGGCCAGGCATTTTCCTGCATTAGAATCTCTGACCGATGTGGGGGGGGGGAGGCAAATGGCACTACATGTTATTCGACTATGTCTTCTAAGTACCTCTGTTAAGTTAGATTGTTCTACCAAGTTCCACGCACAACAACCAATTCGGTGCGGACGTCCAATGAAATGCCCCCTCAGATCATCAATGATCCTCTATCGAATTCCACCTGAGGAACCTACAGTATGCAGCGTATCTTTCTCCTGTGCGTCTCCATATGAAATTGTAGATTTGAGGCCAATTATTTCCTCAACTGTAGGGAGAACCTATCTTTCAATGGCCAACTCACATATTCACGTGCGGAAACAAGGCTCACGAGCCGAGTGCTGGACTTTGAGATTATTTTCATTTACGTACCTGGAGAAAATCGAAACATTTCAAACTTGTTTTATTTCAGATTTCTTATCTAATTGCTCGTAAAGTTGCGGTTTCGTAGGGCCTGATGACGGGCGTATCTATCGTCGTAGACCTAGGTCGTCCTTGTTCTGGCCTTCTAGTTTGATGCCCTGTATCTCTAAAACGCCGAAGAACCAAGAAGAAAGAGTGAGCTGCACTCAACCTACTGGCGACTCTCACTGGGTGTATCCTTCCTCTAGTAATGTTATGACCCTGACACTGTCATTCTCACTAAAATGCCTTACTAGAGACATTGAAAAAGGTTTAAGAATTAAAAGAATATCAAATGCAATAAACGATGGAAAATGATTATAATTCTACCAAAAGAGAACTTAAGGCGAAGAAGAATGAAGGGCACTTTTTGTGCAAATGGGATTACTAGGTACAAAAGGAAATAAAAGATGTAAACAAAGCATTATTTATATATTATGACTACGATATAACTCCTAATTACCTGTAACCAATGTAGAAAGATAATGGATTTAATTTTTAAACTAAATAAATTGAGTGGGGAGTTAAATTTGTCCATCAGTGTATAATATTTATCCGTGTATAGAAGATTAGAAGAAAAAAATATATACATTTTTTGCCAAGGTGGTGGTAAGGATAGCCAGGATACCCTCTAGAGCGATCTCTCGGTCGTTCGCCGCAGGCAATTCGTCTGCGCACCGTGCACGTATGTCCTCTGCCGGCCTCAGGGCACAACACGGATTGACGATTCATCTCACGACATGCGCTGGTGTTCCCGTTGAAACCTCGCCTCACCAAATCGCCTCAGTCGAAAAGTGCGTGCCCGCGTGGTTCCGTCTCGTTTCGTTGTCACCCGGCTTGACAGCTATTTTAAACGGCCGACCAGCCGAAAATTAACACCATGGCGTGAAGTAAGGAAAATTATAAGATTAAAATTGAAAAAAAATATAGATAAAACACACCTTGCACAATTTTTTCTTCATTAAAGGCACAATCGATAATTAATTTTACAATTAAATAAATCTGACGTAATTTTATATATGTGTAGAATATTTATTTTATGTATACATATTTAAGTGCGTTATTTTATATGCTTACTAAATTATTTGTAATAATCTTCTGTTTTGTTGTCTTCAAATTTCAACCCGTTTTTGTATATTTTACTATACCTTATTTTTCTTTACGAATCTACTCCTTTGTAAAAATCCGAAATTATTTTAATACTAACCGACGTTTTCTAATAAGAATTCAACGCGTTTTCTCTAAGCATTTTTTCTTGTACAAATCTTCGTTCGTTATGCAAGACAGTCAATTTGATAGTTACTATTTGATGGTTTTTATAATTTGTTACTACTACATTCTGTATATCTGTATCGTCATCATCCTTATAGCTTCAGCCCATTACTGGGTCCTGGCTACTTAGATGTATAGTTGAATAATAAAAAAACAACTTCTTAAAATTAAACTCTATTATTTAATGCATTCTTTCTTCATAGTTTTTCACATCACGGAAATAAAAGCTCTTTTTTAATGATTTTTAGTTGACAGTAAGTAAGCAACTTATTAATACATTTTCCATTCTTTCTTCTTTATTGTGCATAATTCGTTCTTTTATTTTATATATCTTAGCAATTAAATTTTTTTATTTAATTGTACTTTTAATCTAAGGTCTTAGTTGAGATGAAAAAGCAAGACCTCAGATTAAAAATATACTTAATTTAAAATAATCAATAAGTCAATTATGACTGCTAAATGCATATTTGGATTAGCACATAGTGTTTATTATTATCATCAACATATAAACATATGCACATAAATTACAAAATTTTACGTAATATTTTTTAAACGGTAATGCAGGATGTCAAGAAAATTTCTGAGTATGATAAAAAACTGGATTTGTATATTTTTTAATAAGAAACATAAATTTCCAAAATTAATTTAAATTTTATTTTTTGACATACGTGATCTTTGAGTTTTACTTTTCTGTTACGTATTATCTCACAAGAATCATCACAAGTTAGTACAAAGATACAACTTATTCCTCTGCCTAATTGTTTTATATGTTTTTATTTAAAAAATATCCGGGATAACGCCAATGGAATTTTTTAAAATATAATGTTCTAAGTTTGTAGACTGATACTGATTTTGTCGGAAATATTTACTGAAAGACAAAAATAAACGGCCACTAGTATTTTGTTGTTTACTTCAAACTAAATGTACTTTATATCGTTATAGTTATTACCACAAGCTTATTTCATTGCAAACCAAATTAAACGAGATCAGAAATTCATGGGATTTAATTTTTAAAAAAATATTACAATGGTTTAATTCCTCCCATCCAATTTAGTTATTTTTCTCTCTCTTATTTTCGACGAAAAGTTTATTTAACATTTGGCAAATATTAAAGCAAAAATTTTCACGTCACATCAAATATTTTAAATAATACTTTTAGATCGCCCTGAAATATTGAATTGCCCCAGTCGACTCGGAAAATATCTTCTGTTCCATCAATAAAATAATTCAACTTATAGGTTGGCTTAATTCTTAAAATACACACGCTATCATTTTTGCATTTTATGTATATTTTGGTTAAGTGACTAGTCCTTATTTTTAAAAAGAACTCTTGTAAAATGTTTCTTCTGATTTGTTTTGAAACAGTTTTTTTTAAAGCCCACATACTATGAATGATGTGTTTACAATAAATTGCTTATTTGACGACAGTAATGGAATGACCAGTCCACCCAATTCAGATGTTAACTGTACCCCCATTCATTAAACCATCGGACCATTCATTCATTTACATGGCGTGCACAATATCTGCAATACAATCTATAGGTTGCCGATTTCACTCAAAAATAATATTATACTAAAATCAGCATTAGTTGTTCGTCGAGCGTACAAATGTCAAAAAAAAAAAATTGTATATTCTCTTTACTAACACTTACGATCCCGGTGATTATATATTTATGCGAATCATACCTCCGTGGTACAATGGAACAAATTTTATTCTACACATTTGAAGAATATTGCATACATTTGCATATTTAAAAAAATATTGTTTACCTAAAGAAAAATAAAAATAAATTAGGTTAACCAAGAATCTTAAAGTATAAAAGCATGCTGCCAAGAGCCTAAAGTTTAATTACGATTTCATTTATTTTTTTGGAACAAAGATGTATACAAACGGACAGAATAGACTTCTCTTCAAATAATTGGCATCTTATTTGAGGCCCAAACTCCTACAAGTAAGCTTCAATCACATGTGTTGAATTTAAATAGTCTTTTTTGACGTACACATCGTTTTTTTATAGCGATAATAAACACTGTAGTATTGCATAAAACTAACTTTAAAATTCTTCTATCTTTTTTCGGTTCAAAATTTATTTGTACTAGACCAAGAAGAAAATAATATTTACCTAGGTTACCTACTTACTAAGGGTCAGGTGATGTCTCTCACATTCCTTCTGCGTATTTAAATAATTATAGTAGAAATTGTATCGTACATTGGAAGGTTTTTAGTACATTAGTGCGTATATTTATCTCATATAAATTTGGGCACTTATAACTGAATTTTTATCATGTCCTACGGAGACAGAAGAAGGAATCGAAGACTTATTGTGAACAAATGCCCTTAACTATCCTTTAATAATCATCCTGACAGTTAACTACTGTGGAAGAGAGGGTTAAGCTCTCAAAGTCCTTCACTGATCAGAGCTCGTTAAGCCTACTACTAGGTTGCATGTAAAAAGAAATTGTTTCCTTTTGAAAGCCGCCAGCTTCAAGAAATTACTACACTGATCAAAGATAAAGTCTCTCTGACAAAGATAAAAAGCAGAAAGGCGTTAATGTCTGAATTATTATATGGAATAACAATCGGAAACATATTCGTGTACAAATGATTGTTTGATTTTTTACAATAATTCTTTTTTCACAGCCCTGATGATCTCTTTCTACCTTAGGCTACTCTTTGGTTTTTGGAAATCGTCGGAGGGCGTGTTAGAGAAAGTTAGGAACGCAGTCTAGTATACGTTTAAAATCTTTCGCTCAATAAAAATTGTCCGAATTAATAAAAACACAATAAACAGCTTGTTACAATAACATGGCAGCTGAGAAGTAAATACGGAAAGGCTCGTAGTTAATAACGACAGTCGACCTCCGAAGCCAAACGGAAACTGTATAAATACAAATTTACAAGATAAAACATATTTACTCAGAAAAAATATTATTCAAAAAGAAAGAAATAAACATATACAATAAATTGAATACAAAAAAATTAATGAATTTCAAATCAATACACGAGAAAAGTCCTTGATTTCAATTAAATAATTATTCTCTGAGATAAAATCTCCACCAGAAAGATGCAGAAAGAACAAGAGGAAAGACAACTAAAATATTTAAATCGTTAATCTATTTTCATGAATATACTTTTGAAGATATTACGATCCGTTTATCTTGTGACGATAATATGCCTATCCCATAAAAAAAAGATATATGTTTGCGAACGATGATCCAAATTTGCTTTCTACGGCCGTATTATCGACAAAATCGTAAAAACTAATCGGTTTCATTAGTTTAAGAACTGTTAATAATCAATCAATAATGAACAGGCGATGCAATATTTCTAAACGTCTTATTGCCATTACGATCATCACTGATCTTATATCTCACAGACCAGTGTTCGAAAATCAATGTTGACTCGTAATGATGTAAATTCCCCTAATTGATCGGTATCTGCTAATAGTTCTATTTAACTAATTAATTTGACAGAACTACGTACGAACACAGTATGAACGTCATGAATTATCTAATAGGCGTGAAAACAGAAATGTGCCGATCAACACAATTGGTAACATATTTTACCAATTATTATTATACAATTTCTACTTATTTAATCTGGCCATAGTGCCGAAAAAATAAAATATTTTACGTACTTCCAACATGAGAAAAACCAAAGTTAATTTAAATATTAATTACGAATTTAAATCAAAAACATAATTGTGTTAAACAATTATGTCCAAATGTTTGTCTCTTATATGTCTGCCTGACTTTCCCACTTGTGCATATGTCATACTCTTCCTAATTTTTAAAATTTCTTCACGCTACACTTTATTTCCTTTTTCCTTTCTTCCTTTCTTGCTGAATTGCTGAAAAAAAACCAACTCTCATTCTTTCTACCATCTACATACATCGCAGTCTCTTTAACCCTCTATGCCTTTTTTTTAAATATTTTTTCTGTGAGTTAACATGTCATTTCTCTCGCCCTCTATAGTTTTCTTTAATAAAATACATAAAATGTACAAAATATTAATGAATGTAAACATATATAGTTTAAATTTAAAAATATCTAAAATTTAAAATAAAAGGGAAATCAAATCTCTCTCTCTCTCTCTCTCTCTCTCTCTCTCTCTCTCTCTCTCTCGCTCTGTCTCTGTCTCTGTCTCTCTCTCTGTCTCTCTCTCTGTCTCTCTCTCTCGCTCTCGCTCTGTCTCTCTCTCTCTCTCTCTCTCTCTCTCTCTCTCTCTCTCTCCGTGTCTCAACTGGTCTTGAAACAGTGAACATGTTTTTGTAGTGGAGGGTTCGCCCAAAACGCACACCGCAACAAATGTGACGTTTGCCCTTAAATATTTTCATATCATGTGTTGTGACCTTAATGAAGAGCTATTCCATACTATACAAAAAGAAAATAAACCGTGGAAATGCAACGTTTATCTGCAAAATTGCCCTACAACGGATGAAATTCAAGCGGGAGGTAATATAACAGCACTGATAAGAGAGATCTCCTTGATGTGTAAGGAAATGGAGGAAATGCGTAAGGAATTTACTTCTTCTATGAATGCGTATTCCGATATTATTACTCAGAATTCATCTGCTCTTGAAGCAAATTCTAAACAATTAATGAACTCAAAGCATT